GAATTCGTGTATGTTGAGAAAGAGCAAATGCGTAAAGGTGGAGATGTAGTGGAACATGTGTATGTTTTGGAAGAGGGAATTGTTGAGTTTTGAAAGGTAAAGTGTGTAGGGTTTGAAAAGTGAAAGTTAGATCGTTAAGAGGTAAAAGGTGTGGGTGTTAGAGAGTGAGTTAGTTAGGTGTTTACTAGAAAATGAAAGTGTTGAAATGCAAAAGCTCTATTTTTATCTTTGCATCTCTCTCTTTTTCTTCTCATTTCTTATTCCTCAGGGTGAATGTTGTAAAAATGTAAAGTATGCTTTCAAAAGTAAAAGATATAAAAAACAAAGTCAATAAAGTATGCTTTCAAAAGTAAATAAAGCTCGTATCTCTTACTTATATGCTATTTTGTTAAAATAATTTTTTTAAAATGTTTGATTTTTTTCCTAAAATATTAGACTACGAGATATAACAACAGTACCATGCTAGCTAGCAAATACTTATATTTCTTACAATAGCTTCAATATAAAACACTTATCAAATTTTTCAGTCATAATGATTGTGTAACTGTAACTTTAGTATCAACAAACACTTAAGGTGTTTTGGATATTTTTATAAAGTTTCAAAGCACCTTATATGTATTATATTATTTTATTTTATTTTGAAATAAATAATTCTTTGATAGATAGTATTTTTTATTTTAGAAATTATACTTTGGAAATTATTAAAATTTTATGAAAATTTTTATAAAGTTTCATTCAAAGACCCAATAAACAAAGCAATGCCATCAATTGTTTGATAAACTTAATATATATTTTATATATTGATGCATATTATGAGATTGAAAAATTTTAATTTTTTTATATTCTGTAGATTGTGTAGAACATACAGATAGTTTAAAATGCTCAAGGTGGTTATGACAAAATAATTTAGTAATATTATGTTATAAAAATTTTATTTATAAAAATTATGAACTTTAAAAAATAAGAAGCTTTATTATTTTTGTTTAGAAGCACTTTTTTGTAAATATTATTTTATTCTATTTTATATAGATTTGCAGCTAATTTAAAATTGTCTTCATATTCAATTTTTCATAAATGATTATTAATTATGATATTCTTTAAGATGCGTTATAAAAAAAGTTTTAAATTTGTATCTTAATTCAAATATTATATTGTAAGTTAATGTTAAATTTTATGATGGAAGAACAATACTTGCAAGTTTGTAATTGATAGACTAACAATTTAATGTTGTCATTCTTGAATTGAAAAAATGTATTAATATTCTCATTATAAAATATAATATAGATGATGTCACAAAGTAAACCTTGTTGTAATTATTTGCTCAAGTAAGAAGTACTCACATATTGCATTTATGAGCATTTTATGGTAAGTTGAATTAATTTGATCTTATATATTTTAATTTATTTAATATTTTTAATAAGTTTGGTTTTAATTTATATTCAACAAAAAGACTAAATTTTATACTTATATAATTTTGTTGCATCATTTATTTTATATTTTGCAATGAAAGTATTAATATATATTTCTAATTCAAGAATGACTCTATCAAGTTGTGATATATCAATTATAGTCTCAAAAGCATTATTCTCTCATTTATATAATATTAAGTTTACCAAATTGTGCTTTTATATGAATAATTGATGGCATTGCTTTTTTGATTGGCTCTATGAATGAAATTTTATGAAAATTTATTATATTTTTTTTTGATAATTTTCAAAATACAATTTTTGAAATAAGAAAAAATTATCCTATATCAAAAATAGTATTTCAAAGTAAAATGAATTAATATAATACATATATGGTGTTTCAGAACAAAACAAATCAATGTGAAAAGTCTATTTCAAGGCTCATAAGTGTTTGTTGCTATTAAATTCACAGTGCAACAACCATTGTGGTTGAGGAAGTTGATAAGTGTTTAATATTAAAGCAATTAACATAAGTGTTTGATAACTAGCAGGGTGCAGTTGGTATGTCTCGTATTGTAATTTTTTTCTTATATGAACATTCTTCTTCATTAGTTTATTCTCTTCTTCTTTATTAGTAAATGTACTATTGTAGCAGATGCTGTGTGGTATTAGACTGGAATATTATGTTACTTCAATCTTACACTTTTTGTTGTAATTCCTATATCTATCACTAGTTTTATTTTTTACTTTGTTGATTTTGTGTTCAGTATAGGACTTTAACAGATAGCTTACAGTCCATAGCTGAGATATTGAGAGAAATGTTTTCTTTTATCATGTATGCAATATCACATAAATTTCTAAAACATTAAAGATTTATAGGTCGGAGGCTTCTAGGGAGATGAGAATTTAGCTCTCAACCAAGCAGCGAGCATAGAATTAGAGGAGGATATCCACGACAAGAAGGATTTAATTCAAGTAGGATTTAAATAATACAAGAAATCTAATGTGTTGGCAAAGGGAGGGGCAATTGATTTTGGGTTGTAATTTTAGGCTGAGTTGCTTTGTCCTTTATTAAAATTAGCTCATTAAAGCTGGCTGCTGCTTATTCAGCTCATAAATTAGAGTAAATTAGGTTCATTTTCCCTTCTTTTCCCTCTCTGCTGGCCTATCGGTTCTCCCCTGGCTCCTGTCTCGTGGCTGACTTCTCCTCTCCCCCTGACTGCCTGTTTCGGTTCCCTTTGTGCGTCCGTTCTTGCCTTCCAGTGGCTGCATGTTCTGGTTCCCCTTGTGGCCCTTCGGCTGCTGCTCCTGGACCGCCTGCTGGCCTTCTGTTATCCCTGTTCTTATTGGTTCAGTTGGAGGTGTTTTGGGCAGTTTAGTTACCTCTTTTCATTTATATATATTTGGGTGTTTTGAAGAATAAAGAGAGAGATGATATGATATAAATTTTGGAACAAAACCTGAGGGTTTTCTTCTTAGAAAAGCTTGCGAGCTTGTTCCATTTCTTTTCTTCTTGGGAAAGCTTGCGAGCTTGTCCTCTCTTCGATTTCGTTTCGGGCTTCTTATCTCTTTCTTCTCTCCGCAAGTGATCACCCAATTTGTATCTTTCTTCTCGATGAAAGAAATGCAGTTTTAGGAGTTTTTATGATATAAGTTTGTAAGCATCGTCTTTCTATTATAAAAGTTAAGTTGTATTTCGTTTAATTGTTATATTTTGTCATTTTGTGATATTTTGAAAGAAATACCTAGCTTTTATGTAATTTGCGATCAAATTGATTGGATCAAAATCTTTATCTAATTAAAATCTAAAAATTATTTATCATATAAAATATTAATTTTTTTTAATTCTTAATGAACCATTATGCTAAAATTTAAGTTTATTTGCTAAAATTAATTTTTAATAATAATTATTGATAATGAAATTAAAATATGTTCACAACTATAATAATGTGCTAAAACAGGCTATCCAAAAGTAAATCTAATTGATTAGATTGTTTATTTAAGTTATTTGCCTATTTGGATATTTATTTTAGGATCAAGTATTTATATAAACATAATATCTTATTAATTAATAATTTATTAAGCTATTTGAAATAGTAACTGTTATTTAGTCAAATTTACTCATAAAAATATTAAATTGCTTAATTAATATTTTTACAAATTAAAATCAATGATTAAGATTAATTTGCTTAATTAATATCTTATTAATATCTATGTCATTTCTCAGTCAATCCCTGCTTGTAAATATGCTACAAGTTTTGTTGAAGTCCACAAGTTCTTTATTTGATTCTTGATGCTCATTAGAATGATTTAGATCTTTAATTAACACTTGCATTGATGCAATTGTGTGTTTACTAAGTTAAAGTCCAATTCCCTATGGTCTCTACAAGTTTAAATATTTTTGTACTTCATTCAAGTTCAAGCCCCTCAAGTCGCCCGTTGTCTTTAAATGTTCAACTAGAATTAAAGTCCAATTCATTTGTCCAAATTCAAGTCCAAGTCAAAGTTCATGTTCTCTGTTTACCGAATTTTTCGGCAGCCTCCCAGCGTCTCCCCTATTTAGGGGAAAAATTACAAGAGTTTGGGCCTTCCCACTGCGTAATAAAAGCGTGTATGGTAGATGTCCTTAGACATCACGACTGTGGTCTTTCATTCCCACCACGTGCAATAAATGTATGTTTGAAGTCTTTGAATATACCTGTTTTAAAAGTCAGTTGGTTTTTCCCCCGCTTGAGAGTACTTATAAGTAATCCCGTTTCATCATAGGTGCCGCATCGGGGTCCCATCCTACCACGCGCAACAAAGGTGTGTAGAGGCGGTTCTCTGGTGTGCCGCGAACGTCGAAATGGGGCTTTTAGGTGATTACCCGCCTCATCGTAGGCGTCGCACCGAGGTCCCATCCCACCACGCGCAATGAAGGTGTGTATGGGCAATCTTTCGGTGTGCCACAAACTTCGAGAGAAAGAATCTGATTTTAGGAAAATTTATAGCTTCACGGGATTGTCGATGGTGTCAGCAAGCATATCAAGGCAAGGACTAGTTACGTTATTTCTACCATTAATTAATATTAATCATAATTAACCATAATTAATTATAGTTAATCATAATTAATAATAATTAATGCTAATTAATAATAATTAATTACAGTTAATTATATTTAATAATAATTAATTATAAATAATTGATTATAATTATAATTAGGGATTTTTACATACATAACACTTAAAACTTCTCTATTTACTTATCTAACACCTAAACTTTAATATTTACTCTTCTACCACCTAAAAGCTCTATGCCTCCTCAAATATACCACACCGTTTCTCTCCCGTCAGAACCAACACCCGAAACCTGTATTTCGCTCAGGAATACCTTTGCCGATGATGCGGCGGTGGCAAGCCTCAATCTTTCTACCAGCGCACCATTGATTCGCTCATTTTATTAGCTTCTTCTGAAAAGTTACAATGATAAGCGCCTATGATTCATCGTTACGGATCCGAAACGCGATTCTACGACAGCAATCGTTTTGTCTTCTCGCAGCTTCTGCCTTTGGGAAATAATAGATCCTCTAATGACGATCGCCGGCGACAGGAGAAGTTGCAATGGTAAAAAAAAAAAACACTCCATTTATTCCAAGCCACCACCCAAACAGTGAAACAAGCGGTACAAGTAATTCAGAAGTTTCCACCATGAAACAAGCGGTACAAATGGTCATCATATCTCCTAAAGATCTCCGCCACCATGAAACAAGCGGTTGCCACAACGTGGTCTTTAGCCGCGCATTGCTTGTTCTCCACCGTCGGATTCCCCGTCTCCGGCCCGTTCCACCAGTACAAGTAATTCAGAAGCCTCTTCCCCTCCTCTCCAATAAACCTATCAGCGACGAATTCATCTGCCCTGTCAAACACCGTTTGATCGCTTATAACGATGGGCTGGTACCAGCACAAAAGCTCACCTTTTTTTACTGGATACCTTGCCCCTCTCGAATTCAGCTCAAAATCCTTTCTTGCGCGGCCGAATTGCAGCGGCACCACCGGATTTCGCACCTCGCCGCATCATCGGAAAAGGTCTTCCCAGCGAAATACAGGTTTCGGGGCTTGGTTCTAACGGGAGAGAAACGGAGTGGTATATTTGAGGAGGGATATAACTTTTAGGTGGCATAAGAGTAAATATTAAAGTTTAGGTGTTAGATAAGTAAATAAAGAGGTTTTAAGTGTTATGTATGTAAAAATCCCTTATAATTAATAATTAATTACCCATAATTAAGTATTATTAATTATAATTAATAATAATTAACTATAAATGATTAGTTGTAATTAATTAACTAATTATAATTAATGATTAATTAACAATAATTAACTAATTATGATTAAATAATCATAATAATAATCAACTACTAATTAATTATAATTAATTGATTAACATTATAATAAATAATAATTAACTATAATTAATGATACTAAGAACAACAATAATAACCAATTTTAAATTAAATTATTTATGTTAATAATAACAACTATTACTAACATTAATACCAACTTAATCCATACTACCTCTGTTGGTGTCTGCTTGAGGGCAAATTATTGCATCATCAGGTCACCGGAGGCGGAATATAGGTTCGGACATCCAATAAAAATTTGCCACGTCACCTGCGCTTTTGACTTGCGCTTTAGTTGTGCTTTAGTTGCACTTTGACTGCGCTTTACTTGCGCTTTTGATGCACTTAATTTAAAATAATATTTTATTAATATCCGAACCTATATCCGCGTCCGGTGACCGGATGCAATAATTTGCCTTGCTTGAGGTTGAAGTTGAATAGGGGTAGAGGTGGGTAGAGATGTTTGGCTAAGATCTACAAGGAGTTTGGGCAGATCCTAGTTTGTGCCTGGATGGGTCTTGGAATAGGAGAGATCGGGTATAGAGGGGTTGGTGAGGGTGGATTTGAGTCGGTTTGGAGATTTGGGACAAGAGGCAGCGGGATTGAAAAAGGAAGTCGGGCCAGCTTCTTTAGGTGGATCGGGTGGATGAGGAAGAGGTGGAGATGCTCGGCTCTAACAAGAATAAAGCGGCTGGATGGGGTGTTCTGCCAGAGCTTGGGTCGGAGGCTCTCTAGATCGGCAAGGTAGAGAGAAAGCTCTCTCTCTCTCTCTCTCTCTCTCTCTCTCTCTGGATCGAAAGAAGAAGATAGGGACGGGAGAGCTAGGATAGGGTTGGAGTCGGTCTGAGATGAAGGAAGCTTGGGTGGATGATGGTAGGTCAAGGCTAAGTGGAGGTCGTGCGGAGAGGGCTGGAGTAAGCAATACCTAGCAATACCGAATAACTCAGTGATGACCGAACGTAGAGCTACGTCCAGTCACCGGACCTAATAATTGTTCGGAGGTTGGAGGACCTTCGGTTTGCGACAGTTTTGGGGAAGAAACAGACGGTTGAGGTGGATGGTAGCTTCGGATCGGAAGTCACGCTTGAGGAGGTGACGAAGAGCAAATGAATGAAGTCCTCTCGTTCCTATTTTAACGACGAGTGGGAGCATAACGAACGTGGGATTGAGATGGAGCATGAGTGAAGTGACTTCATTTTCTGCTTCATTACAAATCCGCTAATGCCTTTCCGTTAAATCCTAATCATGAGGATAGATAAAGATGTAGTATCATGTTCTGTTTGGTGTAACTTAGCAATTGTATGCTGATGATTTAGTTGTCGGTCAAAAATCTTGAAACTACAGTTGTTACTCCCTTTATGGTCGATTGATTTGGTGCAGCAAAATGATTTCTATCATTTTCTCTTAAAAAAAAAAGAAAAATAGGAGCTAAACTTTATCAAGTGACAATGTGAATGCTTTTACTAATGCTTAATTGTAGATGTTTTTTTAAGCAGATTTTGCTGTATATATATCTTGTTGCCTCCTTATACTTGATGTGAAGGCTTTGTGGATGCTTGGTCATGGGCTTTATCTGGACGTGATTAACTGTTTGTATGTAATTGTGGATATCAGTTTTCTTAACATGATTTCTATGAAACTAGTAAACAACGGCTAAAAAAAGCCAATGGACAGAGGCAAGTGAGTTTTTAACTGCAGGGTATGTGTCTATCTTAACTTATGCTTTCCTCCTCTTAACAAGTTCATATGACCACAATAGTGTCTTAAGTCTCAAGATAGCATGAACACTCCAATGAGATTAATCACTTGAGTTTAAATGAATCTTTCTACATTTCATTGGCCATTTGCTGTACATGTTATTAATCATCAATAATATACATATATAAGGTGTTTGCATTTACACATTGCAGGAAATTGTATATGATGCTTGTTAGCAATGAATTATGATTATGTTGGAAAACTCGTGTAAACAGTTTTATTATAATACTAGTTGACATGGGATATGAAAATTTATGATTATGATTGAATAACTTCTTGAGCTTCATGCCACAAGGTTGTTTCTATACATTCAGTGCAAAAGTTAATGGCCTTGTTAACAAGTTTACATGCATTATCTATGTTCCAATGCCATATTTATAATAGGTATCAAAAGTTTATTGATTTGCGGGAGGGCTTATATGTATTTGAGTCGCAACATCAATGCACCAAATGCGAGGATTTTGGGTTATGTTGAACATGTTTCCTGTGACCAAACTATCGTACATATTCCATGGTTTTGTTTAGTTTTCATGCATGCTTTACACTTTGATGTTACATATTCATACATGCTCAATAAATAAGAAGTTTGGTGGCTATATTCGAAAGACGTAAGTTCTTGTAAGGATAAGGTAATGGCCTACACCCACTATCATTATAATGTCAAATTCAGCATATAGTAGATAATTACTATAATAAAAGGAGTCGATGGTTTTTCATTACATTCTTATGATTATGTCATGGTGGAGTGGAAATTTACTGAATTTGTTTTGGAATTGCATCCTCCTTATGTTCTTTTTTATGTTGGTTTAATGATATATGTGTATATACATAGTCTCCACCATCCTCTTCTTCATGTCATTTCATATAGAACATAACAAGTGTTACAACAACAACAACAACAACATCAAGCCTTTGTCTCACTACATGGGGTTGGCTACATGAATCCTTTTTCATCATTGTGTCATATTAAAAGTTAAATTCTCATTTAAATCTAATAAAGAAATATTATTTCTAATATTTTCTAAACGTGTCTTTTTAGGTCTACCTCTACCTTTCTTAATAAAAGTCAAATCTAATACCTCCACTTTCCTAACCGGGTCATCGGAAGGCCTCCATTTAATGTGAGCAAATCATCTAAGGCGACTCTCTCTAATCTTAACTTATACTAGAGCTACTCCAACCTTTTCACGTATATGCTCATTTCGTATCCTATCTCTAAGGGTAAAGCCACTCATCCACCTAAGCATCATCATCTCTGCAACACTTAACTTATTATTATGCTTCTCTTTTAATCGCCAACATTCAACACCATAAAGAGTATTGAAATAAAATAAATAATGAAGATTGAAAGTTGATATGAAGTAGAATTGCATACATCCAAATGTGAATATGCAATCACCAATGTACTAATCATTTATACGTTCATTTTACTTTATTGCACAATAAGAAATGACATTGATTTAACTTCCTCTCAAACACATTATTATCAGCATGTTGTTCTTATCTTATTTTGTAGATTGGTATATATATGAATTTAGTATCTTTAAACTTAATTATTTGTTTGCCTTTGGCCGGCTCACTTATGTGAGCCCATTGTAATGATCTTTACGTAGAGAATCTCTTATCATCTTTTGAATGTGCTTGAAGCTTAGCATCAATTATGATTTTTCCTCAGGATGAATGATGTGATTGTCGAGCCATGTAGACTACAAGGCTTTTGCATATTTCTTATATTGGTACATTGGCTTTCATTGTGTTGGTGAATAAAATTTGATATGAATTTTAAAAAGAAGGTTAACTACGTTGTCGTAGATGCATTTCCTTTCATGTTTATTAATATTTTATCTATAAAATATAATTGGAGATGGTATTAATTTTTATTAATTGATTGTATTATACAATATTTACGATTTTCTTAATTTTATTTAAATGCCATTCATATTAAATATTAAAGATTTTATGATGAATTATCTTTTAAATAATTCTATAAATATTATTCAGGGTTGGTTGTTTAATATTTTATAGAATTTCTGATGACTAATTAATTGACCAAGATGTAGTGAGCATTAGAATTAGGGTTTTAAATGAACTAAGCCTTTAACGGGATACTCGTGGCTTGGCTAAAATTCTTTTCATTTATAATTCATCGTAAATTATAAAATTTTAAATATGTATGTCATTTAATAAAAGAAAAGTTTATATTTTGTGTAATATAATCAATTAATATGTAATTAATACCATATTCATTTATCTTGCTTGCATATATATTTTGGCCTTAAAATATTTTAAAGATAGTATAAAATAAAATTGAATAAAATTAAATTATTTTAACTTAAACTTAAAATGTCTGCTTATGTTGCATGTGGATACTCTTGGCTCGAGCCAAACATAAGTAGATGGTTTACTTCAACATCATTTAAGGTGTATTTTGCTATAGGAGTGTCATGTTTTTCAAACTTAGTTAAGCTATATAAAATTGCTAACTTTAAAGCCAGTATTATTCCATCATAAAATGTTGTATAATATAAATAAATGCAATATTTTATGATAAAACAATATTGGATACAAAATTATGATATAAATATCGGCAATTGAATATAATTTTTTTGGAGTTGAAGAAACATGTTGATACTCAAGTAGCTAAATATATTTTTAAAAATAATATTTAAGTGATCGATGTATTTATTATGATTTGCTTGGAGGTACCTACATGCAGCACAATTATCATTTTAAAATAAGTTAAACTAATTTAATTTTATCTTTTTTTATTTTATATTATCTTTTAAAATATTTTATTTATAATTTTTATCCATTTATAAAAGTCAAATATTTATGCAAATAATATAAGCGAAGATAGTATTAATTACTAATTAATTGATATTATTGCATGAAATTCAAGATTTGTTTTTATTTAAATGATGTAAATATTAAACATTATAGAGTTTATGATTATTATTAATGAAAAGTTTCTTCTAAATAATTCCATAAAAGATTATTAGGAGTTTGTTGGTCAATATTCATTTTAGTTTATCCAAAAGTGTATTGTTAACATCACTTTATAAATATTGTCTTGATCTAGAACTAAGAAGGCAAGGAGTAGAAACCATAAAAATTCAAGACTTATCACTAATTATTGTATATTTTTTAACATTATTATTTGTGTATATAATTAGATTGGATTGTGTTGATCTTTCTTTTTGAATGAGGACTAAACTCCTTTATCTTATCATCCTTAGAGCTTAGATAATCCCGCATTAGTGTAGACGTAGACTATTAGTACTATGTGGGAAAACCCAAGGATTTAATCTTGAACAAACTTAGATGGCTTAGACATCTACTAGTCTGCTTCCCAAAAGTATTAGGGAGTCTCCCAGAACATTCCAAGGCCAAGCCTAGGTTAAACATAACCTTTCCATATTTATAATCCATGTCACTCAAGGTGGCATTTCAACCTAATCATGAACTTAAGTTCTTGGAATCAAATTAAATCAATCTAAACTCATTCGTGCTTGTTTAAATGACTTGAAATTATCATTTACCTTTTTGCATTTTTAATTTAATTGTGCATTTTAGAATTTAGGGTCCAATTTTCTTATTGTTCAGTTTGAAAGTCTTGTTCCCTGTTATTTAGCTTGAATTAGGTCCTATATTATGTGCATCTTTATTTTGAATTTCGTCAACATCCTGACATCTACCCCATTTTATGAGAAATTAGGAGAGATGAGTTTTTCTACTATGCCAAGAAAGATGTGTATGGTATGTGTCATGAGACACCATTGTCTTCAATCTCATCGCGCTAAGAAAGCTTTATTAAGACATCTGAACACCAAATTGGAATGATTAAACCAATTAAGTTTGTTCTATCCAAATAATCTGATGCCTCGAAGTAAACAATTTTGGTCTCTTCAAGCATTTTATTGATATACTTTTTCAAAAAAATATAAACCAAAACATATTTGTATTATTAGGAGAAAATGTAGTTTATATCAAATATGTTTTAAATGAGGACTAAACATTTATGTATACTAATTTTAGAATTGCTTTATTAACAGCTACAACCGTTTCAAATGCATCATAAGTTGAAATTAAATTGAATTTTATTAAGTTTTAATTATTGAATTCTCATATCAGTTAAAATTTGAAGTTTTGATAAAGGTATATTTCAAATTGAATTGAATATCAAGTAAGTTTGAGTTGTCAAGCATAACTATTTGCTACTAGGCTCTAAGGGCTGGTTTGGGACGCCGTCTTGACTACTTTATGTTTTAAGACGTAAACATTTAACTGTTTTGGCATAATGCTTTTTAGTTGGTGTCGTAAAGTTTACACGTCCGCAACATGCTTTTGGCGACCAAATAGAAGTCTCTCCATTTTGTTGCGTTTTGCGGTTCCGATATGACAAATGGCCTAAATATCCTTCATCTCCTAGGACGATATCATGTTGAAATTTTCTACCCTCATCCTTACGGATTAGTTCCAAATTTCCAACCTCCGCTTACGCGCTTTCAGTCCTTTGTCGAGCTTCACTTTCGATCCTGCTCTTTGATCGCAGCTTCATCCTCTGACGTTCTCTTGCCGGTAACCCCATCTTCATCGACAAAACCTGTGTCCTCTGCTGTGGATTCGATCTTCCTGAGTTCTTTAGCCGTGATTCCTCTTTCTGATCTCTAGATCGCTCCCTCCGACCCAAACAATCGGCAAGTGCTGCCACTGATAAGCCTCCTTTTGGTACAGCTAGCATGGGGGCACGTGCCCCCACTGGACTAAAAATAAAAGGAGAGGTCAATCGGCAAGTGCTGCCACTGATAAGCCTCCTCTTGGTACAGCTAGCATGGGGGCACGTGCCCCCACTGGACTAAAAATAAAGGAGAGGTGAGCGCGAGAGGGTTTTTAGAGAGCAGGAGCAAGTAGCTGATAACAACAGATAAAGAGATGTGAGAGCGAGAGCTTCATCTGCCACTTGGTCTATTCCGAGCTTGAGAGTTTTTATAACCGAAATGTGAAATAGTGAGAAGAAAGGAATTATGCAACTTTACTTTTTACTCAATAACACAATTTACAGTAATTGTAATGTATATAAAGAAGTCTAGGATAAAAATTGTTAGCTATCTCTGTGCTGTTGTGAATGACAGAGAGGTAGGGGTGTCAATTCGGGTCAACCCGCCGGGTTCGGGTCGAACCCGGCCCGTATCTAAACGGGTCAACCCAAACTCGACCCGTTTTTACAAACGGGTTGGACATTTCAACCCGGAACCGACCAGGCCGGGTTGCCAGGTTGACCCGACCCGACCCGCGACCCGACAACGTTCTTCCAATCTCCTTTTTTTTCTTACTCTTTAGTTGTTCTGCTCTACATCGATTGTCGACGATTGCCATGGCGGATATGTTTCTTGATCCAATCATGGAGAAGCTCATCAGCGCTGGCTTCCGTTACCTGAAAGATCAAGTCAGATGGCAGAAATGCACGAAGGAGGAGCTGGAAAAGCTGAAAGAGATTCTCCCCTAGATCCAAGTTGTCGTCCACTTTGCTTCCAGCCAAGAGCAAATCACCGAAGATGCCATTGATGATGCATTTGACGTGGTTGATGAGCTGAAGTACATGGAGCTTGGAAAGCAGGTGACCAAAGACAAGAAGCTGAGAAGGGTGCGTTCCATCATGAAATCCATGAATAAAAAACTTGTCAAATTTGGCAAACGTGCTCTCAAAATTGATCCCACCTTGAAGCGACTGGAGACGGCTATGCAGAAACTTGATAAAGTTACAACAACTGGTGTTGATACTTTCCTTCATCTTGTAAAAGACGCAAAGCACGAGCTTCAGAAGCAGCATCTTGAGCTGCACGGAGCACGTGAAACAGGATCCTTGCCTAAAAATGATCTCATTGGGCGGGGCAAGGATAAGGAGCTTGTTATGGAGTGGCTGAGGAATCCATCAAATGAGCATCGGGGAACTCATTTGTACAGAAACATTTCTCTATTTTCTTAAATTAAACGGGTTTTCGGGTTGACCCGGTAACCCGCCGGATCAACCCGACCTGACCCGTTTTATCAAACGGGTCAAATCTGCGAACCCGAACCCGACTCGTTTATCAAACGGGTCGGGTCCAACCCGGATTTTTCGGGTTGGGTCCGGGTCGGGTTGTCGTGTCGTGTCAAATATTGACACCCCTACAGCGAGGTGGAGTACCGAGTGGAGCAACAAGTTTTTTTTTTTAGCTAAAGGTTTTATTTTCCTAACTCAAACCAACTAGAATTATTATTCGATATGATAAAATTTTTCGATTTTAATTTAAAATTAATAGTTTGTAATTATATTTATTTTGAGAAATTGTTCTTATAAATGATTTTTTCATCTAATTATATTTAATGGTATCAAAATAATTTATTCTCATACTATTATAACACACAACTCGATAATTAAAATTTTCAAATAATATATAATGATTTAAAAATTGTATCTCTTAAATAATTTTCTTTCATCTCAATATATATAAGGGTATCAACGTAATTTGTTCCGTCATAGCTGCAGAGCAATAGCTGCACAGTTATACTATCCAAATCAATTTTATAACCTGTTTTACCGACAGCTCTAGTCGTCCCAAATGCACCCTAAGATATAACTTGTAGCCAATGTCTAGAACAGGCATTAAATTAATTATTATAAATTTTATTTAAAATTTATTAGTTCAGTTTAAAAATATAATTTTTTTTAATAATAGTTTTATTATTAATAATAAATTATATTAAGGATGCGTTTGGAGCGACGTTTTTCTTACTTCACTTTATGTAAAGTAACCAAAGGATTGTTTAGGGTGCCAAGTTCATACTCCCTTGTAAAAATTTTTGCATCATGTGATTACTTTTGCGCCCTAAGATTGCCTCGTGCGGTCCGCTGCTAGCCTTTCCACGATTTGATGGGCATAAATGACAGAAATGCCCCATCTGCAATTTTTGCTATATGCCAACGTTGACCTTCTCAAGCTCATCCATCTCGGACTCACCTTCTCCATGCTTGCGGCAGTCTCCCAACCTTTGCCTCTCCGGCCCACCTTTGCATCGGAAAGTTCAACTTCCATGTGTTCCCCGCCACTCACGACGTCTACGCCTCCGACCTGCTCCAAGTCTTTCGACCTGCTCCAAGTCTTTCGACCTGACAGTTCCATCAATCTGCTGATTCCCAGCCCTGAGCTCTTCCACTCAATCGAATGAGCCCCGACCCCGTTACCGATCAATTTTGATCCTGGGTCTAGGCGGTGTGCAGGGCGTGCAAATGGAAGGCATGGCTGGCATGCTTCTCTATTTGTTCGAGAGAGGAGGCAAGGGGCGGCTGGTGGCGTTCATTTCTTCCATCTGGCCGATGAACAGCAGGGGCTGGTCCATTTTTTTTCTAAAAAAATAATCTATACTTCTAATCCTTATTCCTTAATCCTGGATGTGCGTGAGAGCTGAAGAAAAGTGCTCTTCCATTATCATCTTCTTTCAACACTACCTGCAATTGGAGCTCGAGAGACAGAGAGAGCAGAAGCGACCTACGAAAGGGCCTTGTGCATGCGATTGAGGCCAAGATTGAGCACAGACAGGTATTGAAGAACTTATTCTTTATCAGAATTAATTCCTTATCATAATTATTACAAAAAGAAGCAAAGATTTGTAGGTGGAAGGCAATCTGATACCTGAAGCAATAAAAAAAATTCTCTATTGCCTTCTTTCATTCGATGTGCTTTCCTAAAGGTGTAGGCTTTCTTCTTTCATCAAAGTTTTATTGCCACAAGCATGCTTTCTAAAAAAAAATTGTCTGAATTCAAAATAATTCCTGAGTTTGTGGCCAAAGTTTATTTGTTTGCAGAACATATACATCAATTTAATCGAATTGTTTTTTTGCATATTTTCATATTCTCTGTACACTAAATTTGAGCTTATTTGCAATGTAATTAGACCATTTCTTGATTCAAGTTATTTGTAATCAAACTAGTTTACTCTACCAAGAATATAACTCATTATTGGCCTTTTGATGAATACATTTACATATCTTTTTTTCAGGATTATTTTGAAGTATGATATTATATAGTAAAAAAAAAGAATACTTGCTCTGTTCTTTAATTAACCTTAAGAAAGCTTGCTTGAAAGTTTTTTTTTTTTTGGAAAGCTGCTCAATGAGAACTTTTTTCTTCTATGCTTGATGTATGTACAGTTATCTTGGATGTTTTTTTTTTTTGGAAAGCTGCTCAATGGAAAGTTATGTTGAGCTTGATCGTTGTAACCTGAAGTACTTTGTTACTTTGCTTGATGTATGCACAGTTATCTTGGATGTTTTTTTTTTTTGGAAAGCTGCTCAATGGAAACTTTTTTTCTTCTATGTTGAGCTTGATCGTTGTAATGTGAAGTACTTTGTTACTTTGTTTGGCAATTGAAGGCCCCCTTCAAACTAATTTGTCAATTGAAATTCAACAATAACTTGTTGTTTTCTTCTTGTCGTAATAATAATTTCTTCAACCAAATATGAGGCAGAAGATGTAACAATTTATGAGACATAAGATTGTGAAGCTGCTGAGTAGATGATATAACTACGGGAGCAAATTACATCTACATTGATCAATTGAAGCTGTTGAACTTGCAATTTAACACAGAAGTTGTTTTAGAATTATTGTCTATGTGAGTTCGGGTTGCTCGTGAGAACAAGCTTTACAATAACAAGTTTACAATAACACAGAAGTTGTTTGATGGAAAAATTGTCTTTTGAATTCTAGAAGTCATACAGTAATGTTATCTATTTTTGTCAACGTAAAGAAGTTTATCACCAGCTTGATACGTAGATTCCACTAGAGTGAAAATAGATGGTTTTAGAAATATGTTTAATGTGGTGGAAGTGACAACAAAATTCTCCGGCCATATTCCTGATTCCATTGGTGATCTTGAGCGCCTCATTGTACTGTATGTGAATAGCTACTAGAAAATTTTCATGTTTATTTGGCTAGAGAGATTCAGTTTTTCCTCATTATTTAGTTTGTTGGGAAATCCTTTGGTATGTGGAAAGTGGCCTGGATCTTCTTGTTATGTAGATGGTCATGCATCAAGAAGTAAGCAAAAGTCAAGAAATTATCCTGCGCACCATTTTGCTATTGAACTTTTACTTATCTTCTCCATTGGAACTCTATATACAGTCAGCATCTCTCTGTCAGCAGTCGTTTGAATAACCTTAGGCTTCATCACATTGATATTGATGTCTTGGTAGCAATCTAAAAGTCCAACCAACTATTAAATGGAAGATTGAAGGATCACAACAAGAGTTAAATCGGTGATTCATCACTTACAGAAACTTATGAAAGGGAGCATGAGAAATTAGCTCATCTTAGGAAGAAAGCAATGAGCAACATAGCTACAGCACCTTTCATCTTGAAGAGAGTGAATGAATGCCTTGCAAGGATCAACAAAATAGAGAGGAATAATATAAACATACATTCTTCTTTCAAGCGAGAGAATGTTTTATTATAAAATAATATTAGAGAATCTAAAATTTTAACAATTTATTTTGAAGTATGATAATACAATGTCAATAAAAATTTATAGTAATTTATATATATAAACTTATAAAATATTTGATAAAACAATTTTTTTTTAATTAAAAATTATTAGTTTCATAGCATAAAATTTTGAAAAAGAAGATTATATTTGAATAAAATTTATTCATCTTCATACATATAAGAGTATAAAGGTAATTTATTTCTATATAGTTTCAGCACA